AGGGTTGTTTGCAGGCCATGGGAATGCTTCCACTCCAACCTTGGCAAACCATTTATCTCTGTCTCTCTCATTGGGAAAAAAAAATACAAATTCAAACTGGAAAAAAGAGAAAAATACACAGTGAACATAGTTGGTTCTAACTCAAATATTGAAACAAGCTTAAACATCCAAAGAGCTTTTTGGCATCAAAAAAGAAGCCTAATCCCCACTGTTACATCTGGTAGAGGATCTGTTAATGATGATGATCTGTTTTTCATCCAAAGGAACCTGTTTTTTCGCCATTTTGGACCGTGAATGTACCAAACTCGAAAACTGATGTAATTCCAAGTTCAGACTTCCTACTTCCAAGTTAAAGTGAATGCAGCACTAACTTTTAGTTCTACTTTACCTGCAGCTTAAACATCCAAAGAGCTTTTTGGCATCAAAAAACAGGATAGTTATACAAAAAAAAAAAAAAAAAAAAAATCACCTGCTCCCCACTGTTACATCTGGCAGGGGATCTGTTAATGATGATGTTCTGTTTTTCATCCAAAGGAACCTTGTTAGGATACATAGCATCATGGATTCTATGAAGTACCAGGAGATTTTAAATCAGGTGTGTCAAACATATGGTGCATGGGCTGGGACTGGCCTGATAAAGTTTCTAATCCCTTCCACCAAATGAATTTAGAATCTGTGCTCTAGACTGAAATCCCTCAGTAAATTCAAAGATTACGGAAAGAACTAGTCTCTCTTCTTCCACTAGGTGGCAAAATAGAGCCATAAACTCAGGGCCATAAACTCTATCTCATACTCACCAAATGTGCTAATGATAATTATTTATTCATAAATTTATTAATGAATCTGTTAGCTCATTCAGCATTGATGCTGAAAATTCAATTAAATTTAAGAACAGGGAAAGAATGTAGATTAAACCACTTATTCATACAAGATAAAGCATGTACAGAAAAAAAGTGTTTGATATGTGAATGAAAAATGCGCAGAGAAATTAGACTCTGAGGACACCACAGTTGTGAAAATAGGCCAAAAATCCTAGGACTAGTTTGCAAAAGTAGGTTTTGCATAGTATGCAAATTATCACAATGTTAAGGTTTTTTTTTTTTTTTTCAATTTGAGCAAAAGAATCATCCCAGGAAAGAATGTTCACTGTACACCTTATTTTCCAAGAGATATGCTTGTTTTCGTGTAGTTTTATGACAAAAACTTAATGTTAACCTTCTCAAATGCCTGCTGAAATCTGGTTGGATGATGGGGCCCATGTTTTTTTAAGTAATTAGGTCGTCATCAAAACTCCAATTACAGATTAGCACATAGAAGCAGCATACCAAATTTCAGCTCAGTGGGACAATTGAGATATGACCTGTATACGGATTTCCAGGTTCGTGTGAATCCATGCAAGCAATCATGAGTTACAGCTGTTTGAGTAAATTAGGCTCTGCCTCATTAGAATTGATTGACATGTGGCAGCCATATTGTTTACAAATGTCAACACATTTTTGATTATTATTGAGTTCCACATTCTCCTGAGTAATTTGACACCAAATTTGTGAAGATCGGTCAAAAATCCTAGGACTAGTTCGCAAAAGTAGGTGTTGCATATTATACAAGTTAGCAAAAATCTAAGTGGGCAAGGATAAATGTTTCTTTTTTGTTTGGGAGAACCCAAGGAATCAGTAGAAAAATGTATTTTTTTGAAGGACTCACGATTCATAGTGCCACCATTAGGCCAGTCGGGCCCATCTCACCTGAGTGCCAGGAGGGAGTACTACCTGTAGACAAAGTTGCATGTCTCTACAACTTATGGGTCGGTCTGCAGAAAAATAAGAAGAAGAAGGGGAAAGAAAAATCCTAACAATTACAATAGGCTTCCGGCACCTTTGCTGCATGGACCCCTCAATACAATTCACATGGAAAAGTGCTGTACAGATTTGCAAAGAAAACAAAAATAAAAGCTTAAATGAAATAAAATGAAATGCAAGACAATAAAGGAAACTGAAACACTATAAATTAACATCAAGAAAATTTGATGTCCTGTGTCAGAGGGCTCTGATTTTGTTGTTGGTGCCAGTGGGGCTTGCTTCACCCTTAATCACTAGGACAGCCTGTATGGTGTTCTGTTGTGTTAAGTGGACATATGTGAGATGGGCTTAAATCAGAGAAGCATCGGTGAGGAAGGGTGCCCATTCGAAAAACACAAGGCTTGATGTGTGACGCTCCATGGAGGGGAATGCCTGGAGAGAGAATGTGGAGCAACTGTTGAGCCACCGCCCACAAAAGTCATGGGGGATTTGCTGTGAAGACAAATCTAAAAAAATTCTCAAAAAGCTTGTGCTTTCTGAATATATTTCAGAATGGCCAAGTTTTTTTTTATCCAAATTTTGATCAAAAAGTAACTTTTTGAACATGCCATTTGCCAGAATAGCTCAGATGGGAGAGCGTTAGACTGAAGATCTCTGGTTCAATCCAGTGTTTCGGCATGGTGTGCTGTGTTTTGATTGCAATGTCTTAGTAACCAAGCTATGGGATAATTTCTGCGTGCCAGACATCGGTAAGTGTATGGTAGTAATTGGCTGGTTTAAACCCAGCTTTTTGCTTGGTTCCATGGTGTAATGGTTTGTGCTCTGGACTTTGACTGCAGTCCAAATCTTGGTAGAACCTGCAAAGCGTTTCAGATTCCAAATGCTTGTAAAGATGAATATGGATCAAATTCTATTGAAGATGATCATGGGCCAAGGCTGAGACTCCTGGTCCAGGCAGTAAAGCCCATGTGCCTATTGGCTGAAATATCATGGCTAGGGGTGCGTTAGACTGGAATACATGCAAGTGACAGGTTTGTACTTGCTCTATGTAGGTTGTAGCAGGCCAAAACTCTTGTCAAGATGTACATGGACCAAGTTTCTGCCTTTTGTTTGAGACAGTAATGATTTTTTGTGCATTGGCCAAAATTTCTCAGGTATTTTGCCATATGTAGGTTGTAGTCAAGATGTATATAGACCAAGTTTCTGATTTTTGTTTGAAACAGTAATAATTTGTGTGCAGTGGCCAAAATAACTCAGGTGGGAGAATTTTTTTATTGCTTTTATAATATCAAAAACGGTAACAGTAACAAACATACAGTTACACCAGAAAAAATTAATAGATAGATAGATAAATAAATAAATAAATAAAATTAAGCAAACAAAAAGTAGGAAACAAAGTGGGTCATCTTGTCCTTTCACTATGTAATTTGTCCTTTCAAAAATTCTATGTAGGGATTCCATAAAAGTGAAAAATATCCTCCTTTGCCTTTCACGAGATATGTCAGTTTCTCCAGAGCAAGACTAGCTGTCTGTTCCTCTGTCCACATTGTTATGGTAGGTGGTTCCAATTTTTTCCAGAGAAGTGGAATTATCGTTCTGGCTTGAAGAAGAGAGTATGTCTAATATGCCAATGTGCCCTGTACCAAACTAAAATGATGCTTTTAGGATTTTTAGTCTGTTTACATAATGTTTTAACATTTGTTGAGTTTAGGTAAAGCTTCAAAGGAAGTCCTAGATTGGCTAACTGTTCAATATTAATCCAGGCTGGGGGAGCTGCTATAGAGAAATAAAACATAGTTGATCTCAATTGTGCAGCCCAATAGTACCATTTAAACTTAGACAGTTGGAGCCCCC